TACTCTCACACAGCCAACTCAACACCTACACAACTGTCTTGATGGTGGTCGGTCTTGACCACTAACATGCGTCTAGTTATGTTCTTATGTATGTGTCTTTATTTAACTGGGCCCATCAGGAGGATGTTGGCAGCTCTGATGAACAGCTCAGCTGTGAGTATATGGACCCTTCACTGATTATATAGTGACTGCCACTGATATTAGCATCAGCTCCTTTAATAAAAAGTGCCATTTAATATACATGCCAAGAGAGAAAGTGCTAAAGTGAGCAGCACTTTCCTTAATTTCATTGATTGTGTTTAATATGTGTGAATATTAACTCAGAGACAGAGGTGGTGGAGGTGAATGCAAAACTGGGAACTGCATGAGTCATCAGTCTGCTTCTGTGCCACATCCTGCATGAAGATGACTTCTGATGTGATGTGACAGAGGCTTCGCCATCATGCAGTACTTAACGTTGACTTAATCAAGGATCAAGGATCATGGTCATCTATTTATCATTATACAGCACAAGGTTGTACAACCAAATGAAAGGTTGTAGTCATGCTACACACATAGAACACAATTTATATTAGAGCAGGGTAATATATAAAATAGGGGTGTGACGAAATATCATGCCACGAGATCTCACATTATTAAAACGTTTGTGTCTTGTGATATCAGTACAAGTGTAAGGATGTAGCATAAAAGATGTTAGCGTATTGTGGCGATCGGTGCACGCGCGTGCGTCAGCGCAGGAAACATCTATTGCGGCGTTTCAAACCAAACTCACGGGTGGAAGAGGCCAGTAGTGCAGGTAGTACAGCCAATTAGCTTGGCAGCAGCACCAGCCGGACTATGGGAGGTAATTCCGGTGTTGTCGGAGAATCATACAGAGAAGCATCGAGGGAAGGTCTAGTAGACGCACAAGGTGTCACTGTGTTTTATTTTCTTTGGCCAACGTTTGTATTGAAACCCAAAATGAGTTTTTTGTTGGCTTGCTGGGATCCAGAAGAGGAGGTTTTTGTTGAGATAAGTATATCTTGTGGAGATTTGAAGTGAGATAAGGATTCACTCACTGGTGGTAGAACTGTGGGTTTTGTATTGAGCACTGTGTAATACACTGTAGTGAACTTTGTGTTTCTTGTCATCTGTAGGCGCCTTTGAAATACCTGGCTGTTAATTAAGATGGAATGATTGATCATGATTGTACCAAAAGACATTGGTTCTTTGTGCATGCAAAATTATGTAAATATACTGAACATTGAATGACATTATTTACATTAAATGATGCCTAAATGAGCTGAATGTTGTTCCTTCTTTTAGCGCATACATTTCAAAAGGGGCAGATAAAATTTCTGAGTGGCAGACAAAAACAGTACTTGCTAATGCTACTGTGGCAGGCTATGAAAAAAGTTCAGTTCAGATCCTGTAAGCAACATTTCAAAATGCACCTGCATTGTTTTGCGTTTTGTGACTGTGTCAAAAAAGACACATTTTCCAGTCATTTATTTTGTCACTGACAATTTCTTAAAAACAGTGTTAAAATATCATCTTGTCCTCCTGAGCTAAGTGTATCTTCACACACCTAACATAAAATAAAACAAAATAAACAGTTACACATACACGTATACAACAAAGAAATAATTCCGCAGTGCTGTACGTTGGTTTATTATACAAAGTTCTTCTGCAGTGGAAAAGGTGAGTGTGATGTACTGGTGTATGGGTAAAATCCTCCATTTAATCTTACAGTTGTGCTTGACAGAATTACTTGTTGGAGATAAGGACATAAAACACATAATTCACAGCAGTCTATATAACTTCACACAAAGTCAGCACAGATGTTTGCAAGCTAGCTCCTAACATCTGTACAGTTGGTTTAATGGCTGTGCAAGCCAAATGAAGTCTCCCCGGGGAGTCTTCCTGTAAACAAGGCTATGTTTACATTCATTCCCACCAAAGACACAAACGTGACGTAAAAACATTGCTGCATATCATATATCCACAGGGTACTGTTAACGCGGACTACAAAAACACACCGTCAATTTAACAAGAATAATGCATGTAAAAACTTTGTGTTCAGTCTGAATACATCTTTATGGCTTGTAAATGTACAAATGTAAAATGAGATTAAATGAAAAATTAAATTACACACAAGGTGCTAACATTTTCATCTTTTCATCAGAACCCAACAAATACACTCTTTCCTCTAAATATCCTATGATGTTGTTTCTGATTCTGGTTTAAATTTGTGAACATGAGCAGAGTGAAAATGTGTCACTTGCCATAACTTGGTGTATGCAAGTCTGAATTTAATCATGTAATACACTTGAGTGGTTATAATAAACAGCAGGACATGCTTTCCTTTAGTCTTCAAATAAGGTGTAAGAACTGGTGTGATCTGAATGGCTGTTACCAAAATGTCATCCAGTAGCCAGGTTGAATTATTGTTCAAAATCTGACAGCCAATTGCTGTGAAAAGTTCAGTTGAGGCAAGCTTCTCGGTTGACAGGCTTGACATCAACTGCTGTTTCCCCCAGTCTCTCAGCTCTGTAGGGAATTAATGAACTTCCTGTGAATTGTTGATCGTGTCTCTAACAGTGCAAATGCACAGCTAGGGTTTAATGATTTGTCACTCCTGTTTAATCAATGCTGCTTCTGCACCCTTGTGCCATACAGAGTTGTTGCATTGCCCTGTGTGTCTCCAGCATGTTGTGATCTCTCTTTCTTTGTTCTGTTTTCTCTTTTCTCCTCACAGGTGTGGTTTCTGTGTTTGTCCCCCTTTGGCTAGCGGTGGGTGGTGAGCTGTTATTCTTATCACATTCTTGCTCTGAAGTCTCCCCAAAACCCACCATCTCTCCAGGCCCTATATCATCCTTACACAATTTTACACCGGCCCACACTGTGAGGAGCTGAGCTGGGTCACTTCTTTAATTTTTCCTGTTTCTAGCTTCTGTTAGTCCATAACTTCTACTGTAAAAAGTCAGAATACTTATTCTTAAAGCTGCATTGACCCTTACTTTGAACAAACAACTCTGAGAACACATCCCAGTCCTGCTCCCCTTACTAAGCCTGTCAAGCTCTCTGTTTCCGCACATCACATACGCAATTTAGAAATATAAAGGCAGCAGATTTACCACTCAAAGCTCCTTAATTTAATACAGAAGTAAGCAAAAGCAAGCTTCTCATTTCCACCTGACGACCAGGGAGTTTTTGCCATGAAGGGTGGACATTAATTGAATAAAACTACTTTGTTACAATGTACTATTTTGTGTATCATTGTTTTTTTAAGATTGTTTTTTAAAAACATAAGGGGCCTTATTTTATCTAGGCGCAAGTGCATTTAGGTCGTGTCCGCATCCTATTTTGCTAGTTTAACAGTGAAAAAAATGGTCGGTGAACCAGTTGTTTTCTCCCATTCCCTTTAAAAGCCAAGTGTTGTCATGCCCAGCTGCAGCAGTTAAGGTCATGTTGTGTTTTTTGTATTTTCCCCTCTGTTTTGTTTCCGTTACTCATCTTGTATTTCATTCTAGGTCTCCTCTGATCCCTGGTCAGAGGCCTGCCTCCAAATGTGTGATTATCTGCCCCGCCCTAATATGTTCCACCTTTGCTTCATTGTCTCCCCTGTCTCTGTGTATAAATACCCAGTTAGCCTTTGTGTAGTTGCCAGATCGTCTTGTTTATGTAACAGAGATCCAGACACTTTTGGTATACCTCTGACTGTACCTCGACTTTGTACATTAAACCAGCCTTGTTCAGGTCAGCTGAGTTGTTCCTCGTGAGTCCATACCTCAAGTGCGTGCCTGATAAGTGCGCCTTCACCTGGCGCATTACTGTTCAAATTGCGGATGACTAGAACATTATAAAAAACATAATGAAATTTAAATTTAAAAAAAAAGTGTGATGCACTTCTCGCAGCAGAGAGAGAGAGAGAGAGAGAGAGAGAGAGAGAGAGCTCATGTGGACAAGCGAGAATGAGTGAGCATGCGAGTATGACTGAAGTGTCGATGTGTTATAAAAACTCGCTTTGATCATGAAGTCTTTTGTTACTCTACAGTTGTGTGGTGTATCAGTGAAGTGTATGAACTACACTGCAGACTGGAGTTTGTTAACAGTGACAGAGAGACAGATGGATCCATGTTAAATATGCTCCTCTCCTCTATGAAACATTTGTATCCTCACTCCACCTTTAGGGTCAATCATATCATCCTACAGAGACACGTTGTCCCTGAAGTCTGGATAATACAGAGAACAGAGATATTTTGACTGTTACGTTTACACAGATTCAATGCAACATCACAGATGAGTCTCCCTGAGTCCAGGGTTACATGCAATATGTTTTGAATTCCCATTACAACTGCATTATTATAAACTATGATAAACTGGTCATGAGTCACATCTCCATCTTCCAGCTGATTTCTTTATTGTGTGTTGTATTGACGTATGAGTGTCCTAATGATTTACTTTAATGATTAGAGAGGCTGCTGCCAGTGCATCATGACCAATCCTGTCGACGTGTCTCGAGATTTAAATAATCAATGAAGTTACGTTGCTGTGCTTCATGTGTAAATGCGCACAGTGTCTCTTAATGGGGATCATCTTACTATCTGAATAATGCACCCTTTAAATAGCAGAGAAACACTGCACCATTGACTTTAGACCAGGTTTTAGTTGGTCTGTGGCGCCGTGGCTTTCTGCTGCCTAAAGAGTAGTACAATGCGCCAACAATGCACCTGACCACACCTCATTTTAAGACCAACACTTCCATGGGCGCATGGATTTGCAGAAGTACATTTGCTACTTCCACAACGTGGGTGCTGGGAGTGGAAATGACAACTGCATCAACTGGAAACTAACAATGACACTTGCGTCGTGCTTGCCGTAGTTCTGCGCCGGGTGCAAGATAGGGCTCAAGAGGGATCAACATTAACCATGGACCAGTGGTTGACCACTAAATTCTACAGTGTGGCCACTAAAATCACAGCATTGGTGGCCCAAATAAACAATTAAATGACTTTGAATTGAATGAATTCTCTGGCTTTGGCTAACCTTTATTGTGTAATTTAAACAGGAAATATTGGAAGTCTTACTATACCAGTTACTGTGAAAACATTGGCTTTAATTGCTTGAGCAGTTCTGCTGTCATCTCTGGGCTTGTTGGAAGGAAAGTGCTGGACAGACACTGCTGCCTGGAGTTTGCATGGCGCCCAAGTTTGTCCTGCAGGGCACAAACACAGCTCCAACTCCATGTCCACCACATAGGTTTGCGTGGATCCATTCACCACAAACTTCTTTTCCCCAATCTACACAAAACATAAGTAATACAAGCTGCTATATATTTGCTTTTAAAGTGGCGTGCATGCATATATTCCTCTGTGAAAAACCTGTAGCATGCCAACTAATAACAGCTGTTAAGATCCATTAAATACTGAATTTAGAAGTTGCGATGATTTCCAGCGTCCAAGGGCAACATCAGCGATGCATGTCTCATAAAAGGTCTCCAGCCTTGGTGTCAGGAGGTTGAAGAGCTGATGAGGATTGAAGGCCTTCGTCCTCTGCTGTATCTTGTCCTTGATGACACGTTGCTGTTATTTCCTCTGGTGAGAAGACAGCCTCTATAACTGAGTGGCCAATGCTCCCTCCAGTTGTACAGCCATTCATAGTACTTCAGGTATTTTTGTACCTGCAATTGATCAAAAAAAGAAACACATGCACAAATAGAAAATACATAAATGTGTAATGGCATAGCAAAAAAAAAAACAAAAAACTGTGAAAGTATTACTTTATTACACTGGATTAACAAATGCATCGTCATGTGATCAGAAATTTCTGTCCTATGGTTAAACATAAGACAACTTACTTCTCCACTGACTGCAACTGGATTTTCGCTATAAAATAACTAATCAACTTTGGCTACCTCTTTGCATTACATCATTTTTTGAGTATTGTGAACACAGGTGGTCTGTCTCTGTGGTCCACACCACTCTCTTTGCTCCACAGCCACCTCCAAACTGCTTGTAGCAGACGGAAGGAGCACAGGAGAAGTGTGGCATCAGGAAACTGGCGCCCCAGAGCTCCCCTCTCTGCCCTACAGACATCTATAACAATGATCTGCGCTCCAGCTGCAGTTCTCCCCATCCACATTGCCTGAGGAATCTATGAACAGCACAGCTCCCCACTGTGCTACATTTGGTGCACTTTCATCAAGAGAGAACCCACAACAAGAGGTGCTCCCTGGGAAAGACATTCCCATTAGGGCACAGCTGTCCCTACACTGCTATAGTAGCTCTCCACTTTATTTTGTAGCGCTGCCTAAATGGCTGGACCAATTTGAGCGCCATATTCCTCCCTACACACCTTGTGTAACAGTACAGGAAAAGACATTTCTATTGACTGACTATATTATACTATTTTGTTGCTTTGTTAAAAAAATAATCCATGTCCATGTTTCCCAATGTGATGCCCACCTTCACACAGATGGCAGGTTGGGGTTAATCTTCCTGTTGGTTGATGGATATACAAATCGCAAACCTCAAGAGCAGATGTGGGAGTGTAAAATATGTCAGGCTGTAAAAAATATGTATGAGAAGGACGAATTAACATTAGACCATTATATATTGTTTGCTAGTATATTCTTCTAACTTAAAACTGTGGCAAATCAATATTGACAGATCAATTACCTCAGCTCCCTTTCCATGGGAACATAGCCGTCAAGGGATGAGTCATAAGGAAGTGGTGGTCTAAACTGCCGGGGAGCAAGCAGACTTGTTCCCCTTGTAAAATGTATATTTTAAAGGCTATTTTTTACAGTTTTGTTTTTCTCTGTAATGTAGTACAATGTTAATAATGTTACTTACAACATTCTTTCTCAGCCCTGGAAGTTAAAAAATACAAAATAAAAATACACTGCTCAAAAAAAATAAAGGGAACACTTAAACAACACAAAGTGTCTCCAAGTCAGTCACACTCCTGTGAAATCAAACTGTCCACTTAGGAAGCAACACTGATTGACAATCAATTTCACATGCTATTGTGCAAATGGAATAGACAACAGCTGGAAATTATAGGCAATTAGCAAGACACCCCCAATAAAGGAGTGGTTCTGCAGGTGGTGACCACAGACCACTTCTCAGTTCCATTGCTTCCTGGCTGATGTTTTGGTCACTTTTGAATGCTGGCGGTGCTTTCACTCTAGTGGTAGCATGAGACGGAGTCTACAACCCACACAAGTGGCTCAAGTGAGCTGTGTCTGTCAGCGTAGTGTCCAGAGCATGGAGGCGCTACCAGGAGACAGGCCAGTACATCAGGAGATGTGGAGGAGGCCGTAGGAGGGCAACAACCCAGCAGCAGGACTGCTACCTCCGCCTTTGTGCAAGGAGGAGCAGGAGGAGCACTGCCAGAGCCCTGCAAAATGACCTCCAGCAGGCCACAAATGTGCATGTGTCTGCTCAAACGGTGAGAAACAGACTCCATGAGGGTGGTATGAGTGACCGACGTCCACAGGTGGGGGTTGTGCTTACAGCCCAACACCGTGCAGGACGTTTGGCATTTGCCAGAGAACACCAAGATTGGCAAATTCGCCACTGGCGCCCTGTGCTCTTCACAGATGAAAGCAGGTTCTCTCTGAGCACATGTGACAGACATGACAGAGTCTGGAGACGCCGTGGAGAACGTTCTGCTGCCTGCAACATCCTCCAGCATGACCGGTTTGGCGGTGGGTCAGTAATGGTGTGGGGTGGCACTTCTTTGGGGGGCCGCACAGCCCTCCATGTGCTCGCCAGAGACCCCTTGTGAGACCATATGCGGGTGCGGTTGGCCCTGGGTTCCTCCTAATGCAACACAATGCTAGACCTCATGTGGCTGGAGTGTGTCAGCAGTTCCTGCAAGAGGAAGGCATTGATGCTATGATTGATGCCCGCCCGTTCCCCAGACCTGAATCCAATTGAGCACATCTGGGACATCATGTCTCGCTCCATCCACCAACGCCACGTTGCACCACACACTGTCCAGGAGTTGGCGGATGCTTTAGTCCAGGTCTGTGAGGAGATCCCTCAGGAGACCATCCGCCACCTCATCAAGAGCATGCCCAGGCGTTGTAGGGAGGTCATACAGGCACGTGGAGGCCACACACACTACTCATTTTGACTTGTTTTAAGGACATTACATCAAAATTGGATCAGCCTGTAGTGTGGATTTCACTTTGATTTTGAGTGTGACTCCAAATCCAGATGGATGGATAAATTTGATTTCCATTGATAATTTGTGTGATTTTGTTGTCAGCACATTCAACTATGTAAAGAAAGGAGTATTTAATGAATTTATTTCATTCATTCAGATCTAGGATGTGTTATTTTAGTGTTCCCTTTATTATCAAATAATGAAACAGCATTGTTTGTGTATTACAGTGTAGAGCCCGCCATGGTTTCACAGTATTATGAATAAAAAATGTAATTAAAACATATTCTGTTCTAATATAACCACTGGATGGTTTGGATGCTTTAGATACTTTAGATGGTCAAGCAAGTGGTTTGTTTTATGCATTATTGTACATATTCAAACTTGTACAAGAGGATTTGAGGATGGGGAATAACTGATGAGTTTGGCTGTAGTGTAAGCTTCCTCAAACTACATACAGAGCAGGACAGATCACTATTGTTAAACTCTGATACAGTAGCATCTTGGCTCCCACAGGGTGGATGTTCTAGTCCTGAACAGGTATTTCTTTAGCTGAAGCAGTAACCCCACTAAATAATATAACCTAACAACATGATGCGCCTTGCCTTTGGAAATAACAAATATAGGCTCCTGTAGTTTGAAGCTAGTTAGCTGGAAATGCTAATGTTTACAGCAGGGGTCGGCAAATAAGTCTGGCATCAGGCCAGATTTATCTCACCTCATCTCACCTTTCCCGCCCTGTTTTCGTTAGAGTTGTGTCAATCAAGCGAGAGACTCTTGAATGTCCTTCAGAACTTTTCAAAGTAAAATCTCTCAATTAAACACAACAAAGCACTGCTGCAAAAATTTTCTCATGCCTTTATTTTGTAGACACAATCACATAAGAGGAAGTGGTTATGTGAGTAACTTTTGCTCTCATGACTGAGATCTGCTTCAGTGCCAGCGGCTCTAATTATTATTTTTTGCTGCTATCAAAGTAATCTGGCCACGAACCAGATATTATTGCTGGCGGGCCAGCTTTGGCTGACTTTTTTACAGCATATGTATGAGCAAGCAAAAAAACACTTTAGCTTGTGTATTTTTTGTTTTGGTAAGGCTAATAACTGTTTTTGATGGCGGGGTTCAGCAGTCAACACAGTACTGTTTAGGGTCACTGACATACTGTATATATGACAAGGCACTCATCCATTATGTTACATCAACAAACCAGTTTTTTCATAGCTGATTTGCTTGTCAACAGGAGCCTTTTGCTTTAGTGTCACTCATCTTTGTGTTCAACACGTTTAACAACACCTCTCAATGTCTATTAAGGGAATAAATTGCCATTTCTAATGACGTGACAATAAACTCCGGGCTGAGGAGGAGAGACGTGCGTAGCGGAAGGGAGGGGGTATAGACCCATTACTGTACACTTTAGTGATTCACTTCCGCTGTTGCCCTGGCCTTTATGCAAATGTGTAATTAACTCATCAAAGACGTCAATAACATTTTGAGTCAGAGCATCAGTACATCTAATCTGGCTGAGCTGAAAAAAATAGGTCTCAATGAAAAGGGGAAAGGGATGAGCCAGCACGCTGGAAATGCCAGCATGTTTCTGTATCTGCGGGGGTGAAAATTTTAACTACAGGGCTCATTTGATTATTGCAGTTCCTTGAGCACAAGTCTTAGTCACAAATCAATCACCTTCAGCATAGGCAGGCATTACACCGGTGGGGTAGTGTATTAGTAATAATCCTGCTTCAATTAGTTTGATATTAACAATTCAAATGGCAACTGTAGAATTTGCAGCATTAGCCACAGTAGTAGAAGTAGGTGTTGCAGTACTGTAGTAATAATTATTAGAAGTACTTATATTAGTAGTTTTAGTGTGAGCAGTAAAGGTTGGTTTAGTATGAACAATAGAAGTTAGTTTAGTAGGAGTAGTCAGGTGGGCCAGGGGTTAGTTGCTGAAAAAGATGCTTCAAGGTTATGTCATAATGCAGGTTTTACCTTAAAAGCTACTTTTTTGGTTTATAAGCATTAGTTGTGTAAACAGCATCACTAACCTCATTTGCAATTAATCAATTTACCTCAAACTAATGTTGAACCTGCAGCCTCCTGAGGGCCCCAGGCTCAAGCGTAAGAGTGCATAATGCAGAAAAAAAAAGAGATTGTAATTGTCATGTCACCACATAATTTTGAAAAGCCATCCATTTTACTCATCCTCCGAAGAGACACATGGCATGAGAGGTAAGCACATTTTAGCTCCAAAAACTGTTTTTCAAAGTAAAATTTCTATGATTAAGGTTTTTTGATTGGTGTCTGAACAATTATACATTTGAAAACATTTCACACATGTTTCAGTGCTTTAGCAGGCTACGCAATGAGTCTATAGAGTTAGCATGATGTTAGCTCTCAACTGCTGGATCATGCTAGTTTTTCAAACTTGTGGGCCTGGGTCAAGTTGTGCCAGTGGCACAACTCACCCCCACTTATGATTTTCAACATATTACACTGTTACATACACATAAGAAGTCTGGATGGAAAGCCCATCTTTACATTTAAAGAGAATGATGAGTCATCCCTAGAGGTGATGTGCTCAAGAGATTACCCACACCCCAAAAACTTTGTACAGCTAGAAGGGAGCAGAAGTTTATATTCTCCTGCAGCATTGACAAGTGGGATGTTAAGTAGTAGGCCAGATCCAGACCACCTAGACCTACATACTCACAGGGGATAATCTGGAGAAGAAGTGAGGAGATGGGCATGCCTCAGTGTTTGACATAGGCCTACCTGCCATTTGTTTAATTTAGCTAACACTGATTTCAGTTTGCGCCATGTTATTAAAGATAAGTTTTATTAAGTTTTTAAGCGGCCCAAGTCCCAATAGGATGTTTAGAAATTAGCCTAGTCACTTTATTCTTATGTTACATAATTGACAGCGTTCTATGTCGGTCAGGCATCTATTGCCAAAGCCTCTTTGCCTGAAATGATTCACAAATCTCATGTGTATAAGTTTTGTGTTTTCCCAAAAACTACAAAAACAGTTAAGTAGGGTGACAATATCTAAATAAGCCTTAAAGGAGTAATTTTGTATTGAATTTGTCTTGCTTTTATATAGCATTACAGTTCATAACATTAAAATGTTCCATTTTACTTCAGAAATCACTGGCACAATTTACCCCAACGTATTCCCCCATAGGCACAATTTGCCCTGCACCAAGGGCAAGTTGTGCCACGAGACCACTTTTTTCCCCAAGAGCTATATTTCTGAAGCAATTTGTTTCAGATCCAAAGTTTATATATATATATATATCCTTAAGTTGAAGGCATTACTGTCATGGCCTCACTTTAAAGTCACTTTGACTGGCACAACTCACCCCACTTTCCCCTACAGGGAAACAGAAATGACGCAGAATGCTCAGAGGTTGAGTGGTGACATGGCACCGGGTAAGGAGCAATGACGACCAAGCAGGGGTTGACTGGAGAACCAGGGTAGAAGTACTGTCAGAGATGAGGCTGATTGCTGGCAGGTGTGGCAGGCAGAGGAGGTGGCTGACAAGGTGCAGGTGCGGGTCGTTGGCTGGGCTCAGGAGTGGAGGGAGAGAGAGGGGGAGAGCACACGCAGGGGATGAGACACAGGGAGGCAGGCAGAGTACAGGAAAACACCAGGGGAAAACAGAATCACAAGCAA